CTGACTTCAGGCTTGCGAGGAGGCCCCCTACCCACTGACAGCACTACTTAAAAACCTCATACATTTGTTTAAATGTTTTAAATCAACAAATACATATTGTCTCTATCTATAGTGTACAATTTCTCTCACACACACAGAATAGCTAAATTGGGCTAATTAGCAAAGGCATCACCATTTTTTAGTGGTGGTGGTGGTAGTGAAAACTCTTGTAGCAGTTTTCAAGTGTGCCATATATCCAGGCACATTTCCTCATAAAGTATCCAGGAGGCATGGCGGGTCAGGGACTTTGTTCTAAGGCTACATGCAGCATTCAGTTTCAACAGTGAAATGCCAGGGCCTCTACCCTTTTTTCACTGACTTAAGGCTAATTGTCCTTATTGGCTTAAGTATTAAACTTGACCTACACCTTGAAGCTTTAAATAGTTTCCAGGGTTTGAAAAGTGTGCCTTCAGGGAAGTCATGAAGTCAGTCCCCACAGGTATTTTAAAACCGCAGGTTTAAAGTGGATGGCTGTGGTTCTCCTTTTTCATATTCTTTCCTCTGGCATAGCTGTTTATTTTTTCCAAGAACAAATATATGGTTTGGAGAAGTGGTGGAAGGTATGTGAAGGCAAAGAGGATAAACACCTTTGCATACTCCCAAGGAACTTGAACAATAATTATGTGAATACTGTCAGCTGTGACTCAGCCTGAGCCTTCCTTGGAAATCTCTGTCAGGGAGTGGGCTATAGCCTTTTGCAGACTTTAACCTCTTCTTTGGGTGGCTTCTCTTCCATACCACTCATTACTGTAAGCTGTCCTAAGTGGTGTTGTCTCTGTGTGTGTGTGTGTGTACGTGTGTGTTGCTTGCATATGAAGATACACACACATATATACATGTGTGTACAAGAGGTTAATCTCAGATGCCATTTCTACCTTGGGTTATTGAGACGGGGTCTGTCACTGAGACCTGGGGCTTCCTGGTTGGGCTTTGCTGGCGGGCCATCAAGCCCTAGGACCTTCCTGCCTCCCAGTGCTGGGGTTACAAGTACATGCTTCATTCTTGTGCAGCGAGAACTCTACCGAGTCACCGATGCCCCACATGCTCCCCAACTTGCCCAACCACAAGAATAATCGTGGTGACTCATTGCAGCTTCCTCTCTACTTATCTCCTCTGGGACCTCAGTGGGAACAGAATCTCTGGGAGAAAAGGCCTTGAATGAAATTATTTTCCAGAGCTTCTCAGATGAGTCTTTGACTCATTGTGTCTGGGAAACAGTGGTGTACTGCTCTTTACTCAGGGACTTGAGGAAGCCATTCTCCCCTAGTGTATTTGCCAAACAGACTCTAGTTGTGGAGAACGGATCTTCTGTGCTGCTGTGCACACGCACAGTAGATCCACAGCACATGCACACATAGATATGGTGTGGAGGTCAACATCGAGTGTCTTTTTCAATTGTTTTCCATTTTATTTTAAATTATGTGTATTTTAAAAGCCTGTGTGTGTGTGCACGCAAACCTGCGCTTCTACTTATGGAAGCCAGAGGGTACTGGATCCCCTAGAGCTGCAGTTACAGGTAGTTGTAAGTTGCCTGACATGGGTGCTGGGACCCAAACCCAGATTTTATACAAGTTCTTAACCATTGAGCTTTCTCCAGAAAGCTCTCTTCATTTTGCTTCTGAGATAGAGCTTCTTACTGAGCCTAGAGCTCATTACCTGGCTAAATTGACTAGCCAGTGAGTACAGGGGATCCTCTCTCTGCCTCTAGCACTGGGATTACTGATTCACACTGCCAAGTCTGACCTTTTAAATGGATTCTAGGATCTGAGCTCAGTTCTTCATGATTGTGTAGGAAGCACATTGTCTGTTAAGCCATTTCCCCAGCTTCAAGGAACTGATCTTTATCCCTGAGTATAAACACTGGGTGGGGGCATGGATGTACTGAGCCTTATCACAGAGCATTTTAAACATTAGTCTAAGGCGCTGTTGTGCTCTGCCCAGCAGCCTCACTTCACTCGGATTTGTGAAACACAAGCCTGTCCTTTCCTACTGCTCCACAGGCTGGCACTAACATCAAATGTGCTTTTACGCATTAGAGAGCTGCAATATTTTGCTTCTGGAACATCTAGAGGTTTCTGAGCTACCTCTTTGCACTAACATGTCTCACTCACTGAGTGAAAATGCTATAGGAGGGTTGCATGTGCATGGCCTCAGTAAGGTAGGCACTAGACAGAAGGTCAGTTTCTGATGGCAGGATTGGAGGGAGGCCAGAATACATTAGCATACTGTCTCCAGCAGTTTGAGAGGGTAAAGAGTCAAGGTGAACACTCACTTTCATATCTGAAATGCATCATCAGTTTTGTTACAAACTGGAAGCTAAATTCCATGTTGGGTCCAGAGGACTCAAGGTGAAATTTCACCTCCCACTGCCTTTCAAAAGGGTTTGCAGTTGAGCAAGTTCGAGAGTGAATCTTAATTGTGGCTAGAAAGCATAGAGACACAAGGTCTCCAGTTTCTACCACAGGACAGTTCACCTGAACGTCAGCATCACTTGTGAGTGGTGGTGCTTGCCTGGAGAGTTTGTTCCCCTCTATTTGACATCTTACCATAGGATAATCTAAACGGACTCTGAATGTGCTGATGGGACCGAACTGCTCAAGAGAGGATCAACCTCCTTTCCATACATCCTGCTCTCAAGGTTCACATGAAAAAGCTCCTGCTGGGTTTTATTGCACTAGACACCCAAAGCTAATAGATCTGGCCATAAAACCTGTCACAATTAGCCAAAAGGGTGACTCGAGAGCAGTGGTTCTTAACCCTCCTGATGCTTCGACCTTTAAATACAGTTCCTCGTGTTGTGGTGACCCCAACCACAAAGTTATTTTCATGTTACTTCATAACTGTTATGAATCATAATACAAATAATTTTGAAGAAAAAGATTTGCCAAAGGGGCCGTGCCCACAGTTTGAGAAGCCCTGTTCTAGGCTTAGAGGTTCTCGGGTTAGGTGAGCTCAAGATGGATGTGTGTGTTTTACATGTAGAGTGCTACTTGCATTACATGTGAGTTCAGGAGGCAGGTTTTTATATGTAGAAAAAAATATAACTAATGAAAATGAAGCATAAGCATGAATAAAATTATGTGTTCTCGGTGGGCTGTGGGCTGGGCAAGACCAGCCCTTGAGGTTCTTGCTATGGGCAGAGATTTTTAGAATTGGTGAGACATACTAGCCTAAGAAAATAACTATTTTCTTTCTTGCCATGGTAACTTTAAAAATATTAAGGCTTTTTTTTTCCTCTGCTGAAGAAAGCATTTCAGCATTGTAGGTGAAACAAAACATTGTCCTCTCAAGGGCTGTCAGTGTTTCCACTCTGAATGACACATTTTCTGGGGTGCGCAGCTTGCCTCATACGCGCTTTGCTCCAGGCTAACAGGCTCGCCCTATTCATTCAAAGGCTCCAGTTTCAGTTGGCTCAGTCATGAGCTAATGTAAAAATGAGAAGGCCGTTTGTTCGGATATGAGGAGTAAATCTGAGCCTTTGTTTTTAATCAATATTAACTGACCACTCCAGGGCTCATGAGGATAAGAGCTCTCCACAGAGCGCAATTGAAAAGGGCGTGCAATGATACTGAAATGCTTCCTTTTCATGACAGACCCTGAGGCTTGGGGTGGCTGGCTTACAGGCAACTCTGGGAAAACGGTACAGGGCCTGGCTTGGGGATGGAACTCTGTTTTGTATATCAGCCACATAACTTGTCATCTGATGCAAGAATGCCTCCGCATTATTTGGAGTAAGTTCTTGTGGCTACTTAGTATAAAATTTGCGTTGACAACCCCCAGCGCTGTGGTAAGAGATTGTCTTGGAAATTTGAAGGGTAAAAGTTCCAAGGGGATGTGACTTAAGTATAAAAATTCTGGTTAGCTGTGCTACATTTCTGGACTAATTTTTTTTTCTTCCTTTTAACCTTGAATTTTACCCTTTAGCCTGGAGCTCTTTCCCTATTCCAGAGGAGAGATTTTGAAGTAATTGGAAATGAATCAAGGGGTATTCCCTAAATTTCAGCTCTAATGTGTTTAGCCATCAGTATTAGGAAATTACATGATAACACCCTCAATTTTTCTCATGACAATTCATTATGGGGGCTCAGGGTCAAGGAGCTTGGGAAGAGAGTTCAGTGAAGTATTTGCTCACAAGCCTAAGGACTTTGATCCCCAGTACCCACATAAAAAGTAAGGTGTGTGAACCCCCAAAGAAAAAGCTGAAGTGAAGAGGCAGAGGCTCATAAGCAGAAAGAAAAGGAAGCTGGAGTGACAGTTCCAACCTTCTGGTCACCTGCTAGAGGACCTGGGCACCTACTGCAAGTCAGGCCAACAGGCATCTCTGTTTTGTAGCAGCAGCCTGTGTCTGTGTGAAGGACAAGAGCTAAGCCTGCTCTGGTGTTCTGGTCTCCAGCAGCTGGGCGCGCTGCTTACTGAGGGCCAGGCACCTCCCTATGTTAGTGCCAGCTTTTCTCTTTGGTCCAGAGGGGTCCCATCTTCTATGTTTCTGAGAAGCTGGTCATGGCAAAGCTGAACCCATTCTTACTTGTCATTCCATGGCCACTATGCCCAAGAACAACTGTGTTCTGATATGGATACCAGGTCTAGCATGACTTCTCCCCAAACCAACAGCAGGTACCAGAGTAGACCAGACATCTACTGGCTTCCTGCCTTCTCCATACCAGAAAGAATGGCAGCTACCACAGGACACCAAACACCTACCAGCTGCCTGCATCGTAGAGTACCTGCACCACAGCACCGCAGGTGTTCTCCTGACCTGGTGCCTCCTGACATTCGTTACTGTTAGCAACACTCTCCAGGTAGGGTTGTGCATAAACCCAGTACAACTCTGAAGACCCCCAGGCAAGCACATCTCCAGGCCTCATCCACATGTGTTCAACCACATCTGTCTAGGAACAGCATGGACTGTCAAAAGGGTCAGGGAAGAGTTTGGGTCTCTGCAGCTTCTGAATCACCTTGTCTGTTTAAATCCAATGCAGTTTTTTTTTTTTTTTTAAATATATGGTGTGCAATAAAAAGCAAAGCAGTGTTTCAAAACACTAAGACAGGAGCTGAAGTACATTCTTCAACCATAGTGTGGGGTAGCTCCCTAGAGCTAGGTCAGCCAGTCTAGCCAAACCGGGGAGTCTTGGGATTTAGTGAGAGACTCTGTCTCCAAAAAAATAAGAAGGAATGAATTGAGGAAGACATTCAGTGTGGACCTCTGACTTTCACAATCACATACATGTGCATGCACACACAAGCACACGTATGTATAAAATAAAACAAATACCAGATTTTTCTGTCCCAATGGTCCTGTGATAGTTTTTTTTTTTTTTTTTTCAAAACAGGGTGTGAAATTTAGTGCCCCGGTCAATTTTCAAATGGGCAATCCTATTTCCCTGTTTGCTTAATTTCCTCTGCCATCTTAACAGTAAAGAAAGGTTTCTTCATAGCTTTTGTGGTTTTGGATGATGTGGCAGTGAGCCAGATAAACCCTGAGGTGCTAGGTGCAACCCCATCTGAGGAATCTGTCAGCCAGGACTGATGTGAAGCCACAGGTACTTCTGCCTTAGTAAATTTCAATATAAAGCAATTTACAAAATCCTAACTTAAAAGTTGCATTGAAATTAGAAGTCTAATTTAATCAATTTGTGGATAAAGTCTCCACTTAAACAAACAACTTTGTCCTCATTAGGAAAGAGAAGCGAATACTTCACAGTGTGTGTTTGGGTATGGGTGGAGCGCGTGTCGCACGAAAGGGGCTGTGTGAGGATGAACGTAGCACACTCAGCAATGAAAGCAACTGCAACTGACATAGTGAAGTCTCTACGTGAGTGGCATGAGGAAATGAAGCCTTGTGTGCTATGGCAAGTTCTATTCTGCAGTGGTCCTGCCAGCACCTGCCACCAACCGATGAGTGGCAAGCACACACAGAGGACCAAGACACAGACTGACAAGGCACAGTGATGGGCTGAGGGAGGGCTCTGCACCTGTGAGCTGGAGGTCGTCACCTGTGCCACTGTGGCAGTTGGCCTGGTCATCGTCACACTCGTCCACCGGGTTCCCGTTGGGTGTGGTTGGTTCAGCTGTAGGTGCTGAAACAAGAGCCAAGTATTACTTCTCACACTTCTGAAAACACACTCTTGAGGCTTTGGCTGTTGGAACTGCTAAAGCTTGTGCAGCAGACTCAGAGCTGTAGTAAGGAGGCAGGGACATGATCTGTCTCTCTCGGAAAGCTAAATACCCCTGAATTTTACCCAATACATGAGGCGCTGCTGGGCTGGGGTGTTTGATCCCTACCTGCTGAGTAGATTTGGCTGCAGAAGCAGTCAACACATAGTTATCTATATAAACACTTCTTTCCTGCAAACCTCTTGAGTTCTCCCGGATATTTGTTCATGACCCTGGAGTCAAGAGCCCCCTTGATAGAGATTAGACCATGTTTCCCTTTATTTCTAATGTACTGAGAAGTCACACCCATGAATTCTACCATAGTCTTAGTACTAACTAGTTTGCTGAGTTTATATCATTGGTTTTTCTTTTTTTTCTTTTTCTGCACAAAGAAGCATCAGCTTATACTCAGCACGGCGCTGTTCTTTGTTCAGAGGTTGTTGTGTTTCTCTCTAAGCAGCAGGGGCCCTCTGTCCCAAGCAGGTGTGTGAGCTGGCCTGTCTCTATGGTCTAGTATTCAGTGGGGTTACATTCCACTGCTGGCCAGGCCTCCTGTATCTTTGATTTTGTAGTTGAAAAGTAGCCAACATTAATCAAAGACTGCTTTTGAAGTCCTTTAAATTTGGTTCAGTCTATTTTTTTTTAGCCTGTTATTCATTTTTTCAATCTGTTTAATATTTTACAGTTTGGGGGATTGTATTTCACATTACAGGACAAGAGATAAGGGTCAAGACCCTTGAAGTAGGAGAGCCATGAGATTCTGGAGTAGGGTGGGAGTGTGGGGGCTCCTCTCCAGCCCTGGCCAGGAGGAGTTACCAGTCACACCTGCTTTACCTGGAAGAACTCATCACCATCACTGTGCTTAAGGACTGAACAGAGTTAAGATAAATATAGGGGCAGAGCTGAGGTTTTACTGCCCCAAATCCTTGACGGCAGAATAGTCGAGAAATCACCATGTACAGACTGACACCTGCCACTTAGGCCCATCTCCTGGACTTCATAAAACTAGTTGGTTAGTGAGTCCTTGGATCTGCCTATCTCTGTCTCCCTGGTGCTAGGATCACAAATACACACCACCATTCCCAACTTTCTTTTATATGATTCTGGGAGTTGAACCGGGGCCTTATTCTTGAAAGGCAAGGATTTTATCCTCTGTGCCATCAACCCAGCCCTTATTTTTTTTCGTTATAAACAGTGGTTTTTACACCCCCACATACCCCAGAAGCACACACGCACGGACACTCTTGGCTTTACTCATTGCTATCACTGGGCCAGCAGAATGCTCTGGCCAGCTGTGTAGCTGTTGTCCCCTCGTCCTTGATAAGCTGCTACTTTTAAGACCTTTAAGCTCTGCTTGCTCTGCCTACCTCTCCTCACTGTAATAGTTCTCACAAGGAGAACCTTCGTATTGGAAGTGGTCCAAAGTTGTGCCTGGGTTCCATTACAAAGATTAAGAAATGACTCATTGTATGCCTCAGTTTCCCTACCTGAAAGTCTGGAGATCGCTAACTCTTGTTAAAAAGAAGCTTGTGCTCAAAATGAGTCCTTCAAGGTTGGATTGGACCTCACCACCAAGAAGCTTGACCCTGGTGCTCATTTGCTAAAACCCAAGAATGGGTCTAAGAGTGGAAAGTTTCCCTCTTACCATGTGCATTAAAAAGTGCTGGAATTACTCTTCCTAGATGATTTCTTTAAACCCAGTTCAGGGGAGTGCTTGTAGATTCCCTATCTTATGTACTCCAGAATTGAAACTGGCAAACTGCCACAGGCTCAGTGTTTTCAAGCCTGCATTCATTCCACCCCCTAAATCACAGTTTCTTCCAGGGTCAGGGTGAAGCACCTGCCTCAGGGCACTGCCCCCCCCCCCCCAGAGGACCACACTTCTCAGTGCACTGAATGAGTACATTTTACTTGGCCAAGACTGTTAACTGCTTCTTTGTCATTTGCTTGATCTCTGGCATGTGGTTACTGTTGGTCTGCATTGATACTGTTGGAAGATTCAGACAACAGATTTGGAAGTCAAAACCAAGGGGAGGGTAGGAGACAAGGCCTGATTTTAAATATACATCAAAAAGTAGCCATGAACTACTCAGCAGTGCGGTGATTGATAGCCCCAAATCCTATAGTGCATATGGAAAGTTCTACGGCATTTAATGTGCTCAGGAATGTAATTATGTTTGGGTAGCTCAACAGACACGTAATTTTGAAACCTGAGGAAGGTGATATTAAAAAGCTTTCTTTGTAACAACTTTGAGCATGTGCTCAGTTGATTAACATCTGGGCACCAACAACAGCCATTCTTCTAGGTAACCCAGAGAAGGACCTGGAGGTGGAAAAGCTGGTGTAAAATTACTCATTTATACCCAGATCTAAGGCAGATGGGAATTCCAGGGCATCAAGCAATGAGTGGTAAATAACCAGCTCAAATCAATCAGCGCCTCCATCCCAGGTAAGATTTTGGGTCTGATTTATGCTTTTGTGACCTTCATATGACAGACTGAGAAATGAGGATACATCCTTCAGCAGATCCTGCCATATTATCATACATATCACTTTACCGCAGGTCAAACTTTGTTTCTTCCCAACAGCCTAAGGACTTTGTCCAAGGTATCTTGCTGCCCCTCTGTCAAATGCTGTTGCTGTTTGAGTAGAACATTGGTCAGCCCCAGAGACAGAAATTTGTATGGGACAGACCTCTAGACATATTTATTTTTAATCATTTTTGCTTTATTGTGTGTGTGTGATGTATGTAGGTAGGTGGGTCCAAATCAGAGGTCAATTCATGGGTCAATTCCTTCCATAGAGGGTTCCAGGGATTGAACTCAGCTTGTCAGTCTTGCATAGCAGAAGCAACTTTTCTTCTGAGCCATCTTTACACACATCTCTGAAAGCTAAAGGAGTTGGCTGGAGGTTTTGGAACGTGGGCAGAAGGAGAGGCAGCATAGTGGTTAAAGGGCTTTACTACGCTGCAATGGAAATATTTCAGAATGTGAGAGAGATGGCGGAAGCAAGAAAACTGTGGGAGTATTCAAAGACACTGAGGTATTTACTTTAAAATGCTAGCACACCTCATAATATCAGCTAGTTGGGAAGCTGAGGCAGGAGTATCACAAATCTGAGGACAGTCTGGGCTATAGTAAGACCCGCGTCTCAAAAATAAATAAGTGAAGTGAATTTTGTGTTATGTATGTTTCACTTCAATATTTTTGTATAGAATACTCGTGTGTGTGTAGGTGCGCATGTGTAAGCCAGGGGTCAGCTTTGGCAGTTGTTCCTCAGATATTATGCACTTTGATTTTTGATAAGGTGGCTCTCACTGGCCTGAAAGAGCTCTACCTGTCTCTATCTCTCTAGCGCTGGGACTACAAATATGTACCACCATGCCCAGCTTTTTGTTTTGTTTTGTTTTGTTTTGTTTTATGTGGATGCTGAGGACTGAACTCAGGTCCAATCTTTGTGTGGCAAGCATTTTACTAATCAACTGAGCTATATCCCTAACACACACACACACACACACACACACACACACACACACACACACGCTCACATACACTTACTCAAGAGAGACAAACTACTAGACTCCAAAGCAGAAAAGCAGTGCAGACTACAAAGGCAAAAGTTGGGTGCTCTGTGGAAGGGCAGCTGCCAGGCCTCGCTGCTTGACGGGCATGGAGATGCAGCTCACTCAGGGGAAAGGGTGGCAGTTTAACCACGGCACAGTCATAGGCACAAATGCAGGAGAAAACAAATAGAAAGGGAGAAAGAAGGGACTCTGGGAACTGCAGTTACCTTCCACTTCACAGCCTAGTAGCTCCATCCTCAGCCCAAGCCCGCTGTGTGTGGCTCTCTCGGGGTAGATCCTGATGAATCGTGTGGACAGAGGTGAAAATGTCCGGAGCTCAGGTGTGTCATAGTTGTTGTTGCCTTCGAAAGACTGTGAAACAAACAAACAAGCTGTGCTTAGTAAGAGAAAAAGTATTAAGGGTTGGGTAGGTGGTGCATGGGGTCAGATCCTTGTCTTCCAAGGGCCTGGATTCAACCCCAGAATCCATGTAAAAGAAAGTTGGGCATGATGATGTGCACTTGTGATCCCACCACTGGAGAGGCAGGGAGGCAGGGAGGCAGGGAGGCAGGGAGGCAGGGAGGCAGGGAGGCAG